CGCCTCAGGAATCTGTCCGAAATGAGCAACTAATTCCGAGCACTGCTATAAGTTCTATGGATATAATATTATTACTTAACATAATTTATATATTTAATATAAATCATTATATAATATAATATTGTTATTTAAAACAACCAATATTTCATTTACTATATTTTAATAGCTATTTCGTTAAACTATTTAAAATATGTTAAAAAGAGAAAAAATAAATTTCGAGAAACTACTTTCCTTGATGTCGAAGTTTAAGCATTCATTGTGTCGCATAAATACAAAAAATTATTTCAATAGACTTTAATTTATCTATAATTTGCAAGATAAATGTTTAAGATATACTGAATAATCTTGCAACATTATAAAGTCACAAGTAAAAACTGTGATATCTTTACACTAAATAATTGATAATTCGAATTAGTTATCATACAAGATAATTCACATTAAATCGTAATACGTTTATAGAATGGAGATCGATATCTTAAATATTATCGACGTCTCTTTTAGAGTCTCTTTTTACAATCCAAATGCATCTAAAGCTGCGATTCTACCATACGATCTATCTGCTCTGCAGAATAGGCCATGTATGTCAAATATGATGAGGATGAGGACATGATGATTTAAAGAAATGGTCATATCCTCGATGTATATTCGAAATTCTCTTAAATATACTAAACATATTTATCGCAGTAAACGAACTATTAAGGTAAGAAAGTCAAGAATAATATAAGTTGTAATAAAAATATATGTTAATATATAATACAAAATTGTACTTTAGATCACCGAGTTTTCATTTAGTTTCAAAATAGAATACTCATGTAAAGGATGATCAATTTATATTACTCTAAGCGTAAAAGATTAAAAGCACCGATCTGTCAATTAAAAATAAATATTTCGCAATAAACAAAATAAATACATCTTGTTATTATCTAAAACGCTGTAAATACTTGTAGTTATAAAAATAACGTATTCCTCTTCATTTCCATTCAATAAAAATTGATTTTTTGCGAGACACTTTGATCTTTCGCTAATCAATCACGAAAGACGTCACATAACATAGGCTTCTAGAAACATACGTACATCTATTCGAGCGCTACTAAAAGCTAAGAGATAAAGGCATAACAAAGTAAAGGATCGCAAAATTATCGCTCCTCGCTGCAACGAAAGTACGTTTCACATCACACACATTCGCATAATAGATCACACAAAGCTCAACGAAAGACAAAAAATATTCGCAAGCTTTAATTACACATTGCACTCTATTTCTTCCTTCTTCTCTTTCTCATGATCTATATAGTGTGCAGCACCGACGAGGCTCAAATAATTTGTATAATAATGAGAAAAAAATAGAGCCAAGATGCGCGCGCGCAGTAGTTGAAAAATAATCCAAAATAGTAAGATAATTTACTATCTTGAAATTAAAAAAGTATTTCTTAAAGAATTTAAACTCATCGAGCGCCAAAAGCATTCGGCTGGAGAAGGCTATGCTGTAGACATGTCCGGAAAGAGATCTAATCTCATCTGATGCTTCGTGAGAAATCCACGGATCTTTTTAGTTTCCCGAGGACAACTAGAAGATAGTTATGATCTTGTTGCAGTCAGCAAGCGAAGAGCGAGCTCGTTAGGTCAACAATTGCGATTACCAGTGCCATTATTCACCTGTATGCCGGTGATACCAGTCTCCGCTTCGTAATCGGTAGTTCGATGTTTCTCTATGGAACAGCATTTTTCTCTTTCCTCTTTGAAAAGATCTGCTACGCAATGTGCCTAGAGAAATATTATAAAGGTCTTAATCGCTCTATCTTTTATCTTGTCAAAAATAAGTTTATATATCGATCTAAAATTTCAACATTTTAATTAATTATATCTGATTATATTATAAAAAAATATGACATCCAATTAGACTTTGACAGAAATAAAAATTATTTTAATTCTCAAAAAAAGGAATTCTTGACCAATTATTTGTATTTATTTATTACTAAACTTCTTAATATTCTTTAATATAATAATTTAAATTATACAATTATCATATATTTCCAAGTTGAAATAATATATAATTACATATTTTTCATAATTCATGCAATTATACAAAATCTTTTCAAGATATTAAGATTTAAAAGTAATATTATAAAATCATATATTTCAGAATTCCTTTTTGTAACTAATATCTATTCATTTTTTAAATGTGATCGGCTTACCACCACTAAAGCGCTGACAATGCCAAGGGTAGATCCAGCGAGTACGTCACTCCAATGATGTTTATAATTGGAAATTCGTGTCATCGCGGTAAACCAAGCCATGAGTAAACATAGAAGTTGAAGGAAGTGTCTAAGCAGCTTACTGCCCTCCCATTTCATTCTTAATTGCAGATACATCTAAATAATTCCAAATTTGTTTATGTATGTGCGTGCGTTGTGTGTGTGTGTGTGAGCGCGCGCGCGCGCGCGCTTGCGTGCGTGCGTGCGTGATGAGACATTATTAATTTTATAAATTAAAGCAATATAAACTTAATCAAATTACAGTAGATAAAGTTTTGATTGAATTTATCAATGAAACTTTTTTAATATATATATATTAAAATAAAACCATAACATATGTATATATATATATATAATATATATAATTGAATACATAAATAGAAAATTTTAGAGTACGAAAAGAGAACCCAAACGTAATTTAACCAATTTTACAATTCTATAATTAGATAAGTCGCATTTTTAAAAATTTATTACAATATCATATATACATATATATCGGTATAAAATTAAATAATTCAAAGTAATTCATAATAAATTCAAATTTAATTTAATATTCGAAATATAATTACTTTTGTAATAACAGATACAATTATCATATTGACTTAGCTTTATCAGAAGCATATGGATCAAACTATAATGGAATTTAGCGTAATTGATGCTTTACGTATTAAATTATGTAAATTGATGTTTGCGGCTGAAAATTCTGAAGACTGTTCGCGGACCGATACACTCGTATCAGATTCGTTGGATGATTACGATCTAGCTCGCACAAATTGTAAATCAATGCAACACTTGCATAACGTAAAAACTACTTACCGCAAGATAGATCATGGTATAGGCCGAGAAGGACGAGTGACCGGAGGGAAACGATAATCTGAAACGATCGATCATGCCGCGTCAAATAAATCCCATTTATCGAACGAAGTATGCAAGGAAAAAAATACGCCCCCTCTTCTTCGCTCTCTTTTCGCAATCGTTGCGTATGCACACGTATGCAGTGTATGCATGCGTATATATCCCTCCTTGCTATCTCGTTTTATTAATTTTATCGCGATTAATTTTGGGGAGTATAGTGTGTCGATTACGATCAATTGGACGGCGAAAAGCAGCCGCGAGCAACGAAGAATACGATGAAGAGGAGGCTGAGCAGATCTCACTAGCAAAAAATGTAGAAAGAGGGCGTAAAGAAGACTCGATACTTGTAGCTTCCTCTCGCCCTCCATCTTCACTCCGTTTCGCCTGAGATTCGTTCATAAAAAAAATTCATAAAAAAACAGCGCATTACGTTAATTAGGATCTGCAGTTCGCAGCGATTGTGCTCTCTCTCTCTCTCTCTCTCTCTCTCTCTCTCTCTCTCTCTCCCCCTCTCTCTCATACTTAAAATTATGACAGCTGTATCAATCCTTGAGTGTATAAAAGATTTAGAAATTTTTTAAATTTTACAATATTTACATTTTTATTCTCCTAATAATTATGAGGTCAAATTCTTCCCTAATTCTTCTAGATAATTTTTACGAAAACTTTAAGGCGTTATCTTTCGAAAGACACAAAATTATAAAAATCAGCTCGCTGAAGAGGGCTAGAAGTTAACCGAAACGTTCGACAAATAATGATAAATTACAAATTAATATAAAAACTAACAAGTTTTTACAAACTCCTTTAATTAAAATAATTAATAAAACCATAAAATATGTATTACAGGCAATAGAAGTCGACGCTGGTTATCAGTTAGCGCAATTTTTCTTGCGCTCATTGTCTCTTCATGCGTACTCTTTTCATGCGTACATTGAAATTCTCAATAAACTTTAAGGCTTGTTCGTAATACAATATATGTCATAAACTTGTTTGTCTTCAAATTGACCGCTATGTTACTTGTTTAGCAATCATTATTTAACCGACTGTCGAAATAACAAGACACATATCGTTCTCGCAGTTATTTTTTAAAATATGACGATAATTTATAACATATTAACGAGTTACAAATTGTTAAATAAGAGAGATTCATTGTAGAAGCGTCGACTGTGTGAGGTGAGGTGAATATCAATTTTCAAATTATACATATGATAATTTAATCTTTCATATAATTTTAGCTTGAGTTCTCATTGCTACTCAACTTTCTAACTTTGTAAGTATGTGACTTACCTCACAACAGTAAACGGTTTAATATTTGAGAGGAAAAACGTTGGAGATATCATTTTGTCATGCAATACTCCAATCGTTACGCTAGGGTGAAAGATTGCTGATGAAGACTCAAACCATGAGTGGAAACGTTAAAAGTTAAGGTTTATATATTTAATATTAAGAAAAATTGCGCTAACTGATAACCAACGTCGACTCCTATTGCCTATAATACATATTTTATGGTTTTATTAATCAGTTCGACAAATAAATTATCGATATTAATTATACGACGATTGTCTCATATCAATCTTAAAAAACGCACAATTATTACAGCGCCGATTCCTCAAGACCATTTAACTTGTTAATTATTATAAAAATCATTCTTCCGCTATTTCTTTCAATAATTTTTAGAAAATTTTTTGCAATAAGTTTATTACAGTTTTTTAAGATTAAATTTGGGAGGATTATTAATGTTTCAGATGGATTGTGTTGCAAGTCCGACAGTAACGGCGCGCAATCATATTTCTGAAATAAATTTATTTAAATAAGAATATGTATACACACATATACGTTCAACATTTAACTGTGACCGTCAAGTGGCGCTTTTCGTATTTAGGTTCTATTTACATAAAACGGTCTTAATTCCACACAATCTTTTTGTTACTGAGAAAATTTATTAAAAATCCAAGATTTAACTAGATAATTATCTCTATCACGGAATTCGTCATTGAAATTAATATTTCGAAATTGTATACATCTCTCAATGCGTTAATATAAATCCATAAACGTACCGATAGAATTATGTATGTTACGATATTAGTAATGCAAATAAAAAAATTCTTTTCAGCGTTCTTTTGAAGTGTACTCCTATGCAATTATGCAAATCTCAAGGATCTATGCAACTCTCTCTCTCTCTCCCTCCTTCCCTCCCTCCCCCTCTCCCCTCGCCTCCATCCCCTCTCTCTCATTCTTTCATCTAGCACGGTTCCTTTGCCTGCTACCGTACGGAAAGAAACGACTGAAGGCTCGAACGCACGAAGAGATCATGAATGAATTCTCTGTGTGACGTCTCTTTATCGTCAGGATTCCTCAAATCTCTCTATACATAAAACTGTCCCTGCCGGCGGACGACCATACGAATGGACGCGACGAAGAGTGGATGACCTGTGATACGGTCCAGTACGCGTGCACGTAGCACCGAAAGAGCACCGGCTTCGTTATATCGCACAAACTGTCCCTTCTTTTTATTCGCTTCACGATAACGTCCGCTTGACTTCCCCGTCTTTCTCGAGGGCGAGGAAGAAAGGAGAAAAACGACGAAAAAGGAGAAAGGCGAACATGCATGACGTAAGCTCGTACAATGCTATAGCACAGATTTGATTGCGATATTTTATGGACTCTGAAACTTTACTGGAAATTATCAACTTTACTGGAATGCGAAGAGAATCGAGATTGCTCTCATCGTTGTAGCTTATTTTTGAGCTTCTTTCTATATTCGATTTCACGAATCCGGGTTGAACTGCTTTCGGCGCATTAAAATATCACCGGTGCTATATATGTACTATATGCGATATACTTGAATACACTTCGCGTTCAATGCACGTAGATGTAAAGGAAAGTTTAGCATAGTTGCTCTGTGTATTCGAGCTACTTGTTGCAAAGAATTTAAGAAGATTAATATACAGGGTGTCCCAAAAAGGTCGCGACACCTGAATATCTCCGAAAATATAAGTTTTACAAAAAAATGTTTCAGACAAAAGTTGTAGGGTTTAAAAAGATCTTTTTATTGATCTTATCAGTTTGACCTTGGGTGGCGTCACCAAAGTCGGGTCAAGGTCACATCAATTTTTTTAAACGGAATACCATACTTTTGATTCTAGAATCTAATAGCTGGTATTAAGAGCTTTTCAAAACATTACAATAAAGTTATTTTTCATAAAATACTTTTCGAGTTATAAGGCTTGAAATTACAGTACCGCCGGCATTATGGGCCTTCTACAATAAGCCATTAGTCATAAATCAGAAATCAGAAGCTAAAAATTGACCAATCACAGTCGTCAATTTTTAGCTTCTGACTTCTGATTTATGACTAATGGCTTATTGTAGAAGGCCCATTAGCATTATGCAAAGTGTCCGATGACTAAAACTTCTTGAATGTTGTTCAGGATCACGTCCTGGATATATTTGTTAAGATCATGGTCATTGGAGATTGTTTCTATTATTTTCATTTTTGCATTAAAAATTTATTTTTATGTAAAAATGAAAATAAGAGGTATAACCTTCAATGGCCTTGATTTTAACAAATGTTATCCAGGATATGATCCTATGAACAACATTCAAGAGGTTTTAGCCGTCGGTCGGACACCTTGCGTAATGCTAATGTCGGTGGTACTGCAACTTTCAAGCCTTATAACCCGAAAAGTACTTTATGAAAAATAACTTTATTGTAATGTTTTGAAAATCTCTTAACACCAGTAAAGATTGCGAATTAGTTTGAATTCGAATCGAATATCGAATCACAGTGGATTCAATTCGATTCGTTTTCGGATCTGAAAGATTCGAAACCGATAAGTTCAAAATTTCGAATCATCAGTGGTTCGATTTTGAATCATTCGCCTCTTGCTGTCTCTTGCTTGTATCTCCTGTCACAATCGTGTATCAACGCATATCAATCTTCGTGCATGCGCTGGTGCTTATTCATCGCGTCAGTTATTATTGGACTCTATTAGATATTTTCATCTCTCTGATATGACTGTGCAGTCTATGGCCGTGTTTCGATATACACCAACATATACAAAGCCATAGAGAATGGACTGCGCTATCCGTGTATCAAAATGGTCGATAAAAGTGAGAGAGAGGGACCGTGGAAGACGGCCATTTCTATCTCTTTCCATTCAATGATATAATGGGAGAGAGAATGAGAGAGAGATTGGCCGTCTTCCACGGTCCCTCTTTCTCATTATTGTCAACTCATTTTCAACATACAGATATTACCAAAAAAATATTGTTTTTAATACATTTATAACATATTAATTTTTAATTTTTTACACTTGTACATTCAAAATAAATTTTTTTAGCTTTTAATTTTTTTTAGCTGATGTCAGTTTGTAAAAATTTGATTTGATTCAATTCGTTTCAATTCGTTTCAATTCGTTTCAATATGTAAAAATTTGATTTGATTCAAAAGGATTCGATTCGATTCGGCGTGAAGATTTCAGATTCGGTTCGATTCATTTTCGAACATGTTATAGATTCGATTCGATTCGACTTTGCAAATGCTTGTGATTCGCACACCTCTAAACACCAGCTATTAGATTCTAGAATCAAAAGTATGATGTTCTGTTTAAAAAAATCGATGTGACCTTGACCTGATCTTGGCGACGTCACCCAAGGTCAAACTGATAAGATCAGTAAATAGATCTTTTTGAACCCTACAACTTTTGTTCGAAACACTTTTCTGTAAAATTTATATTTTCCGAAATATTCAGATTTATATATACAGGATATTCCGACCTTATTGGGACACCCTGTACATATGAGCTAAACTTGTTTCAAGTACTTTTAAAGATATTCATTAAGAAATTCAGTGCAATAGCACCCTGGAATGAAAAATATACAGGGTATTTAAAAAAACCATTCATACGATAGATAGTACATCTTATATGGTAGATAGTACGTATCATGGCTTCTATGTGTCGTATGTGATGTTTACTTCAGTGCTCATAAACTGCGTTCTGCAAGAAGAAATTTGTA